GGGAGCGGCGGGAGCGGCTGGAGCCCCGAGGGCAGCAGCGTGGCAGCGGCCTGGGTGCTGCCGAACCCTTCAAATAAGAGCCATTGCGGCGACATAGACCTGGTCCTTGGCATGTAGCAGAGCTGGGATGGGTTCGCGCCATCTCCAACGCAACGCGCAACCCCTCATCCCGCCTGGGGGACATGCACAGCAGCACGCACGAACCCACCTTCACACCTGCCCAAAAACACACACACACACACACACACACACACACACATGCACACCTACACGCACACATACACGCACACTTACACACACACACACACACACAGCACAGCAATGCAGCAGCACCCCGAGCTGCGCACGCGCACGCGCACACACACACAGACACAGACACACACACACGCACACACACACACACACACACACACACACTCACACACGCATGCACACGTGCACACCTGCCCTCTATGTAATCCACTCCCGCCCCCTTGAGCAGGTTGACGTACACGCCGTTGAGTCGCTGGATCTCCTTGGACTGCAGGGGTCAATCATCATGGCGGGTGCGGGTCCAACCGAGTGAGCGCACGGTGTGGAGTGGCGTAAGAAGGAAGCGAAAAGGGCCGCACGCGGCGGCCGCATCGCACGTCGCGACAGGCGCACGGCTGGGCGGGCTCGAGCTGCGAGCGCGGCGTGGCGTCTGGACGGGCGCAAACTGCGGCGCCTCCCGCCTTGGCCCGCCGCCAGGATGGTGGAGCTGTGTCTGACGCATGCCTAAAGGAATACTCCGCTGCATCTGTAGCCACCCAAGGCAGCGCGGCCTCCTGTTTGCACCCGGCCCCTGCCCCCCCTGCCAGGAGGTGAAAATGCACAAACAAGGCGCCCCTTGGGCGTCCGCTCCCGCACCTTGGACGCGATGAGCTTCTTCCAGTCGTGGGGCGGCCGCGCCGCCGTCCAGCCGAAGCCCACTGCGCGGGCGGGGGTCGGCGGCGCCACGGGGTCAGGTGAGCCCTCGTAAACGCTCATCAATGACGAGCCTCGCCAATGATTGCGATGCGACGGGCGTCACGGCACCACACAAAGTTACACAACGTCCTCACCCCCATCCCCCTCGTGTCCCTTTGACCTCGCGCGCGCGCGCGCGCGCACACACACACACACACACACACACACTGGAGCCACCGGCGCCTGCAGGCGCAACAGCACCTGGCATGCGGCCTCCTCTCAACCCCTTGCGCTGGAATTTCACAAGAACTCCTGGAAACTGATAACCCCACAGGCATCGGGAGTGCCCAGACCACTGCAGACACTGCAAAGAGGTGTCAGCTCTGTGCACAGGCCAGGCTCACCTGCGTCGTCAAACTCGTCCCTGAACGCCGACGCGTAAACCAGCAGCTTCTTAGGCACGCACCCGCGGATCACGCATGTGCCGCCGGCGCCTGGTGCATCAGAGCGACCCCGCGGGCGGCCGCGGGAGTGGGGATTTCGGGGGAGGGCGGGACGTCGAGCACAGCGGGGGGGTGCTTTGCGTGCATGGCTGGGGCGAGAGCGGCGGCTGAGCTCGCTGGTAGCTTGGGTGTGGTGCCGCCGCCTGCACACTCAACCCAAGAACGGAGACAAACACAAGTGAAGCCATAATCAATGCCACTGCTGGGCGCCTTGTGGCTGGGTCGAGAGCGGAGCTCGTTACGCGACCCCACGCAGCGTCGCCACTCCTGAGCCCTTCGCTCTCGTGCTGGTTGAGGTGCGCGTGCGCGCCGCTTGCTTGCGTCCATCTTGCCCGCACCTCCAATAGACTCAGACGAGACAAAGCCAAACGGCAGCTCAACGCAGGCCACCTTGGCATTGTAGTACTGCGCAGCAAAGCGGCTCGCGCGGGTCCCGCCGCTGCCTGCGCCCAGCGTAACCAGATCGTACTCTTCCGCCATCGCAGCTGCGAATGCAAGGCTCCTGCTGGGTTCGAGATATACGGCTGGACGCGCAACTGAGGCGGGCCAACAGTGACGAGCGAACTGCGGGGCTGCAATCCACAAGCTGCGCGCGGCTATCATGCAATGAAGAGATGAGCGCGGTCAAATGCTACAGTGTATATGTGAGTGATTTGATGTTGCTGAACAGTGATCCTAAAGAAGTCTCATGTGATCTGTGAAGTAGATCTCGTCAAGGTGTCGTCAAGTGGTCGTGGCAGGGCTCTCTGCAGGCCTGTGCCCAGGAGAAAATGCTGCACAACTTGCAAATACGGTACATAACGTGCACGAGGTACAGGGGCGTTGCCACATGCTGCTTATCATAACCGTTGGAATGTATGCGACTGGCCAACATGATGGAGGATTGCCCACTGGCCCACCGCATGTGGCGTCTCATCGCCCACAAATTCCTTTCAGCGCCGTGGCCACCACTCTGCATCTTGAATGAACCAGTGGCATTGACAAGGTGCTCATCCCCTTGCAAGTTGCGCACACAGCGTTCATGTGTGGAACAGGTGGTTGGCAGCCTCCACGCACACTGCAAAAAAAATGTGCATGGGGCAGCAGCGGCCTGTGCGCACACAAATGGATGCCTTTTTCATGATCTTTGCGCAAAGTTACAGGAGACAGATGGCATGTAAGCAGGAGACCCGGCTCAAAGGTGGGCAGGGCGCTGCACAGCACAGTCGTGGTCATTCCACAGTGCATGACGAAGCAAGGGCTACACAAGTGTCGGTGTAGAAAGCGTTACATTCTTGCGGCAGCGGCGTCGTCAAGGTTGCTGTCAAACTGTCGCGGCTCAGACAGTACTCGAACCAACAATGCTTTGTTCAGGCGTCACCATCAGCATCAAGTGAACTCATCGAAGCTTCATTTGTCTCAACACAGTGACTGCATGAGCCAGTGCAATATGTGAAGATACTGTTGTCATATGTCGGCGCGCAGCATTGCTGACACAGGGCGTCGGTCACCCAGTTGTTGCCATGCTGTGCGGTCCTGTTGCGGCCCCTGCAATGATGCGCCCACAATGGAAGGGGGGCTGTTGTGGCGGCCCCTGCAATTACGCGCCCGCGCCGCCCTGCGTGAACTGCTGCCCAAACCGGAAAGGTCTCATGGCCCCTGCGGGCCCGCCCTGTAAGCCGTCTTGGGGCGGCGCCATGAGGGCGCCTTGCTGGCCGCTGGGCAGGCCGCCCTGCTGCTGGCCGCTGACAGGACGCTGCCACGGCCCCATGGGCGGGCCCTGCATCCTGCCCCTCAGCGGGCCTCCTGCAAGCGCTCCGCCTGTCATGTTCTGCGCGCCCGGCAGCTGACCCACCTGCCAACGCTGCATCGCCCACTGACCCTGCAACGGGCCGCCCTGTTGGCCGGCAAAGGGTCCATCTGTCTGGTTGCTGGCTCTGGGCAGTGGCCCCATCTGCCCGCCGGGCGGTCCGTCCCGGCCGCCTGGCGGCCATCGCTGCTGGCCCATGGGCCCCATGGGCGGAGGCCCTTGCCATTGACCGCCCAGAGGACCTTGCCACTGGTTGCCTTGCTGATCGGGCTGCTGACTCATGACGGGCCCCTGCCACTGGCCGCCCACAGGGCCTTGCCAAGGGCCCTGGGGAAGGCTCTGCCCTTGGACCCAGTTTAGAGGGCCTGTCAGCTGGCCGCCAGGCGGCCCGGCTGTCTGATTGCCGCCTGGCCCAACCTGCCAGCGCTGCATGACCCATACGCCCCGCCACGGACGAGCTGGCACGCCCTGCGTAGGGCCGCCTTGCTGACTTGGCGGGCCCTGCCACGGGCCGCCCTGGGGCCCGGCCGTCTGATTGCCCATGGCCTTTGGCTGCGGCCCTTGCGACTGCGGCCGCTGCTGCTGCCGCGCTTGCGGGGATTGCATGCGGGTCCCATTTGAAACGCCACCCGGCAACTGCAGTAGGCGGCGGGTGGAGGGGCGCATGGCTTCTTCTTCCCTGGTGACGCCTGGCGTGAAAACAACGATGAGGACCACCAGCGCCGCGACCAGCAACGTGGCAGACGCACGAAGGGTCGCCATCTCCTTGGTTTCGATGCCGCCGAGGAGCCTCCTGAAACAACTAGATTGATGAGCGCAGACGTGTCGTCAGAGATGGGCGTGCAGAGTGGCCGGGCCCGGATGACGCTCCTCGCGATCGCACAAACCTTCAATAGACCTGAAGTCAGGCTTGTTTCTTATATTGCACTTTCGCTGCCAAACGGCCGTGTGTCACCCGTTGCGAAACTGCGAACTGCGTGTACGCGTGTCAACTCAGGGCAGTATACTCGTGTAGACTCACGATCAACGCACACTGCGGAGGAGTCGAAATGGATGTGGACTGATTCATGCCGTGATGCGCGGCGGCAGGTGGACCTGCACCGCCTAGCTTCAGATGACGCCAAAGACGCAGTTCTTTGCTTGACCAGCTTCTGGCAACGTGCTTGACCAGCTTCTGGCAACACGCATGCACGTGGTGTTGAAACAAGTTGTCAGATCATGCATAGGAGGCGGTAGACTGTGCGCTGCAGCGCCAAGAGTTGCCATGAGGGTTGTAATCTCGGTGCTGGGAGCCGGGGTCAATCATGCGTGGCCAAGCAGCACAACTTCTGATGTATGGCAGAATGCGCCATAGCTGTGAGACTCCCGTGTTAAGAAAAGCGCATCTATGTGCCTGATTTTGGACAGTGACACATTTTCAGCTGCTCGCGCTGCAGGCCAGGGTGGTGTGCGCCTGCAAGCACCTCGAGCCATCATGGGGCCACTCAATGCACAGATCAGCATTCCAAGCACAATGCGTTGCGGTGGCGTAGTGTTACATTGGCCCTGTCATTAGCGGGTTTCGAGTCGTGCTTGTGCATGCCTGGCCTGACCCCGCAGGTGCGAGGGCATCACGTATAAACAAACAGGCAAGCAGGTAAGCAGAGAACCCTCCTCTTGGTTGATTGCTGGAGGCATCCACCTGCAAGCCAGGACACTGCCCTCAGGGAAAGAACATGGGTGAGCAGGCATGAGCAGCCAACATGGGTACAGTGGCAAACATGGCAAAATGACAGGGGGCTGGCTTGTGGCCAGCCACAACATAGGAGGGGTTTGCGCACGCAGCACACATGCACATGGGAAAAATGAGGGGCCCTGCACGTTTTGACGGCAGCCCGGCCGGTCATGGCAGCTGCAGCAGCTGTAGCGAACACATCAAGCAGGCAGCTGCTTCGCTTCTCAGGGCGCTCGTATGAGGCGGCCCACGCGGGCGGCCCCCATTGACTGCCGCCCGGGCTGCAGATCCGCGACCCCCGACCGCACAGGTCACGGAAATCGGCCCACTGGCCGTCATCGCTGCTGCTGACTCTCAGTCCAGCTCACTCCAGAGACCGCTCCAGCTCGACCTGCATCTCCATGGCGCGCAGCTTCCACCCCACCACCATCAGCCAGAACAGCAGCTTCCGCATCTCCACCGCGTCCGTCTCGCTCGCCGCGCGCCGCAGTGCGTCGCGGTCCGCGCCGCCGTTGATGCCCAGCAGCCGCTCCACAAACGCGTCCATCGCGGCGGCGGTCTCGGGGGTCGCGCACGACGTGAGGTCCCCGACCGTGGACGGCTCCAAGGCGCGGATGAACTCAAGGAGGTCGTTCCTATCCTCGTGCGGCCGCACGGCCAGCGCGCCCTGCTGCTGCCCTGCGCCCGCATCAGAGTACAGCTGCGGCAGCGGCCGCGCGTCACCCGCGGCAGCGGCAGCGGCGGCAGGCTGCTGCGGCTGCTGCGGGGCGTCGAGGCCCCAGGCGGCGGCGGGCGGGAGGCGCGGCTGCTTGGGCGGGCGCGGGGCGGCGGCGGCGGCGGCGGAGGCGGCGGCGCCGCGCAAACGCGCCACTTCAGCCTCCAGCAGCTCTATGTACTCCACAGCCGCCATCGTCTCGACGCCGTTCTCCTTGTGCCACAGCAGCACGTCCCCCTGAAGCAAGGGCCGCCCGCCGCGGCGGCACAGGTCAGAACCAAGCATGCGAATGAGCGAGCATCTAGGCTGGACAGCCGGGCGGGCAGAGAGCTTGGATACGCCGGCAGCGGCTGCTGGCCAAGCGCCGCCGCTGCGCGCCACCATGGCAGCAAGCGACCCCCCGCCCCTGCCAGGCAAACCCGTATGCGCACGCCAAGCCAAGACGTGCCCGCGCCGAGCCCACCTGCACGCGCGACTTCTGGACACCCGGGGCATATTGCTTGCCAAGCACGCCGCCGCCGGCCCCCAGAGCCCCGCCCCCCGCGCCCGCGGCCTGCTGCTGCCGCATCTGCTGCTGCTGGGGCTGCTGCTGCAGCTGCTGCGCCGCGCCCGCGCCCGCGCCGCCGCTGGCGCCGCCGCCCTGGATGCCGAGGGCGCTGCGCAGGCGGAAGCGCTCCTCTGCGCTCTTGAACATGTAGCCTGTCAGCATGACAGTGTTCATGAGCATGGCCAGGTTCATGGCCTCTGTGGAGATTGTGACTGTAAAAAACTGCGTTGCGGTTCGGGGTCGGCGGGGTGGTGGTGGGTTGAGCGGGTGACCATGGCTGACGATTGGCTCCTGATAACGAAGGGCCGCTTGGCAGCTCAGCTGCTAGAGAGGTGATACCCCGGCTGCGGCGCGAGGCGGCGCTGGGCGGAGCGCGCCGCGTGCGGTCGGGCGTCCTTACGGCCGGCAGGAAAACATTGGCTGAGGTTTGTGCGTGCACCTTGCACGGCCGCCGCTGGTGCGCGGACCACGGGCGGCGTACGCAGTGCCCGCCCGCTTATTTCCTGCTATGTGGTGCGACTGGCGCTGATACTCTTCCCTGCCCCACCTGGGGCGTGGCTGTGATGGTTCCGAGCATGTTCGAAATCGTCTGCCGCATCGCGCCAACCACCACCGGCGACTCTTTGATCAGAAACTCCTCCAGCACCGACGCCGGCTCAACCTCGCGCACATACTGCAACATACGCCGCCGCCGCTCAGCGCTCTGCAAGCACGGGAGGGAAGGGTTAGCGCGCATCGATGCAGGCGTGACAGTGGCGGGCGTATCGGTGGCAAGCGCAGCAGTGCACCGACGAGTCCACGAACGTCAGGGCAAGGCTATCAGTCTGCAGCGTCACAGCATGGATGTGCAGCGCAATCCTCACCTTTACAGCAGCCTCTGCATCCGAGTCTCTGAGAGCATGCACCCGCTGCGCTGCTCTCCGACCCCTCAAAAGCTTGCGTGAGGGCAGCTGCGCATCTCCCGTGCTCCTGCACGTTTGCCTGCTGAATGATGTCCTATCCAGGCGCAGCATCGTGCGCCAGCTGCACCGTACGGATATAATGGGCAAGGCTCGCCTTCGTTCACCACATGCGGGTGGACATGAAGATGTGAATGATACCAGTGGCCATGACCACGCGGCGAACACTTGTGGAGCGCGCAAGCAAAACCTTAGAAGCGGGCCAGCATTGAACACTGTGGACGGAAGCGGGCCGGGCGTCTGCTTGCTTGGCAGGTCTTTGAGCCCGAACACGTCGTCAAGGATAGTTCAACAGTGACAACAGACACATGGTACGCAGTGAGGCTCTAGCGCTTGAGAATCGCAGGCCTGAGACGGGCAGTCCAGCGTGATGACAACCCAGCTGCTGACTACTGTAGTCCGCCACGATTACCTCAGCAGGCAGTAAGAACGTCTGCAGCAGCGCATGCTTGCGATGTAACAAATGCTCTCCAATCCACAAGCGCGCACAGCATGTTGTGTGAACACATGAAAGCGAACAGGCCTTTGGCGGCCCAACATATGAGGCACACGCGTGCACGCGTGCGTGCACTCTGCAGGCGGCGAACTGTATGGCGCCATGATGATGCGTGCAGGGGTTGAAGCAGCCGGGCTGTACGATCACGGCGCGGCAGGCGCCTGCGCACCGGGTAACGGCGCACCACCTGCCTCGGGCGCACCAGGTGCAGCACCTGGCGTTGCCCCTGGCACAGTCGCCCCGCCGCCCGGGGCAGCAGCCCCGCCGGCGGCTGCCGGCGCCGGTGGAGGCGTGGCAGCAGCAGGCGGCGGCGTCGCCGACGCTGAGGCGTTAGGGGCGGTGCCGCCAGCGCCGGCAACGACAGCAGGGCCAGGCCCCCCAGCATGGACGCGGTGGCCATCGGCACAGACGACTTCTGAAGGCTCCACAAAGCCCGGGATGCAGCGCGCCGCCGCACCGCCGATCGCAGGCGCGACGCGGGTGGCGCCGTTGGGCTCGGCGCTGCACAGGAGGAGAAGCATGCTGGGGACGCAGCCCGACGCGCTGATCTGCAAATAGGGTGGATGTTGAGTTTTTGCATGGGCTGGGGAGTGTGCGTTGGTGGATTTTGCAGGTGTGCTGCTTGACACCGGCCAGGTTGGGGTGCAGGGTGGGTGTGAATTATATGATATGGAGCAGACGGATGAGGGGGAGGGGTGGAGGTGGGCCGACTGGCCCCACACTAAGGCATTGGTAATCAAGCCTCTGTGTTGGCGTCATGGTGACTGGGGTAGGTGGGAGACGAAGCGAAAGGTCTCACACCACCTGGCCCCATTGCAACAGTGGGCTAAACTGGCAGGCTGGCTCGTGACAGCTGGGACAACCAGGAGCAACACAAGGTTGTCGCTAGCCGCTTCCACTGCACGTACAAGCTGGGCAGTGCGCCTGCGCACCCGCTGCGCACCCTCCACGCGCAGCAGCACAAGCAAGTGCAGGTTGGCGGGAAGGGGCCTCACCCCTTGGAGCAGTGTGGAGCAGTCTGTGGAGCAGCAGCCGTTCTTGACCAGCAGCGAACCATCAAACAGGCAGGTCGTTAGCCTGAGCGCCTGGGCAGTGCAGCTCGCATTGCCTGTGGTGTTGCCGCCGATATCGGCGCCGACGCTGACGAGAGGGGCAAACGTTCCGATGACATCACCCTCTGCAGAGCAGTCAAATGTGTGTGGTGATGCAGGCCAGCAGGGCGCGCCACGAAGAGGTGGGGCGGAAACGGCTTGCCTATTGGTGTCACAAGATGCGGCAGCAGAGCAGCACGCAGGGGGACGCCACTGCACTAGAGGGGAACAGCAGCCATGCCTGATATTGAGGCGGCCTGCTGCTGCCGCAGCATGGACAGCGGCGGCGCGCAGTCACACACGGCAACAGGCACCTGTGAGTTCGTCTGGTGAAAATCGATTCACTGGTATAGGGCAGTCTGCAAGACAAGCGTTGGGCATGCATAGCACTGTGAGTTCGCAGGCCCAAGCAAGATAAACAGCAGCAGGGGCCAAAGACACTTCACTGAAGCACAGCAGCTGGCAAGCAAAGGCAAAAGCAGGCGCCGGTCATGTCTCGACCACATTCACCTCTGCCACTGCTCACCAGATGTGATGTTGGACACTATCAGAGCAGGGTTGTACTGTGCGTGCTGGCAGGTTGCGAGCGGCAAGAGCGCCGCACAGCAGAGGGCTATGCAGGCGGCAGTGCCTGTGGAACAGTGAGAAGATAGGCGCATGGCGGCCAGGGCCGATGGGTTCCTTACAGGAACGATTTCAACGGAATGAAGGCGGAGGCAACACGCACACGCAGTCTGCGTGAAGCTTTGATCTGCTTCACGGGCTACGAGCTCAGCTACCCGTCGTTTGCTGCACGAGGAACTGATAATTGTCGAGCGGCCCAGCCAGATGCATATGGTCCAAGCCTCGAAAGGGCATTTGACTCGTTGTTTGTTTTCCTGATGACAACGGCACGTCACAACTGACACACCGACAAGCATGCAGGCCGAGGTTTTACAGTCGGGTGTGTTCAGGGCGTTGAAACAGTGGATAGAGCAAGCAGGCCCCCGTTTCCAAGTTGCCAGTGACAAGTTTTGATATCAGCTCACACAAACGCAGCTGCTGCCGCTAGCGCTGCAACAGTCGTGGCTGCCACGGCCGCCACCATTGGACGCCCGCCTTGCACATGTGCAGCGCTTGTTGCAGGCGTCGTTGAGGTTGTCGCAGCTGCAGGCGCCCGATCTGCCTGAGAGTTGACGCCGATTTCCTGCACATGGTGGGAGTGTGGAAGCGGAGGATTTTAGGTAACGTGACAGTTGAACCTGAAATTGACTTCCTTGTGCGAACTCCGTATGGGGTGTGTGCTTGAAGGGTGGGGTAGGTCGTCCATCAGTTGATGCAGGAAAATCGATTGACAAAAGCAGCACAGCAAATTCAAGAGCTGGCAGGCACAAGCAGAGTACTGATTGCCAGCAGAGCTTTGGCCAACATCTGCTGGCTTCACCCCTTTTCCACCCTTGATGAGTCGCGCCGCACCTCAGGCGAGGCAACAATCAGCCCGCTGGCAGCAGCCTGCACGGGTGACGGCACCGGCACGGGCCCCATGCCCTCGCTGCCAGTGCCGCCGGCTTCGACGGCCGTCGCCATAGCGACGTCTTGCGGCAGGTCCCCTGGTTTCACGGGGTTGCCCGTGGGCACCGGCGGCCGGAGGAGGGGCGCCTCAAGAGACGTGTTCGCCACAAACGGCTCCGTAGTGGCGTTCAGGCCAGCCGGCTCGGCAGCGGTGATGTTGGGCTGTGGCGTCGCCGCAATTGGTGGCCCCAGGATGCGGATGCGGGCCAGGTCCTCTGCTGACAGCGCCGGCTTGGGAGATGGCGGCAGCGGCGACGGCTTCTTGGGCGACCCCGCGCCGTCGCCGTTGCTGCTGCGCGGCTGCTGGCCGCTCGTGTCGCTGGCCGCCCCAGGCGCGGCCTGCAGCAGGCGCCGCCGCGTGGGGCCGCCGGTGCGGGGTTGCGACGCTGGAGGCGGTGGTGGCGCCTGGGGCATCGGCGGGGGTGGCAGGGCGGGGTTGCTGCCCTGTGAGATCTCCTCGGGGCTCTCCACGATCATGGGCTTGAAGTTTGCTGGCACTGGTGACGGCCCGATGCCCACAAACGCGGCCTCCATGGGGTTGAGGCGCGACCCGCCTCTTTGCGCAGCCGCCAGCGCGGCGCTGGCCTCGAAAGAGAAATCGTCCGCCCCGGCGGGCGCGCAGCAGGCCGGCGGCGGGCGGCTCTGGCTGCGCCGTGGGGGCCCCTCGGGCGCGGGTGGCTGGACGACCAGAATGGGCTCTGGGGTGGGCGGCGCGGCGGAGGGTGCCAGCAGGCGGCTGCTGATGACGAGCAACTCCGTGAAGTTGTGGTCGGCGCCGAGGCCTCGGGGCTCACGCTGACCGGGTGCGGCACCATTTTCTGCCTGTGCGACGGCCTGCACAGCAAAGCAGGGCGGTGTCGGCATAAGCAAGCACGGCCTGGTGGGTTGCGCCAGGTACGCCGCCGCAAATTGAACCTCGGAGGCCAGCACACAACGATGTGCGCTGGCTCGCACGGCTTCTGTATCCTGAGCGCTAATTGATGCCGCCGCCAACAGGCACATGAATTATGTTAAACCTCCTCACCCGCAGCAGAGTCACGCCCAGCAGCATGAGGGTCCAAGCCCTCCCACTGCACGTCCAGGACGAGCTGCTGTTGCCATGACGCATGGCCTCAGGTGCGCTGCAAAACGTCGGGATAACCTGATCACCTACTTACAGCAGAAATTTCGCCAAGCGCAATACCGTACTGCTGAAATCCAATCATTCCCTGTGCGAGGCGTTGAAAACCTCGGCGTGAGATCGATTGCATCCGATTTGTCGAAGAAGCTCTGGAACAGATGCTATGCATGGGGACTGATGACTAGAACATGAATCTTATTGCGATCATGCATGGGCTGAGGCAGGCCGCTGCAGTTGTGTGCTGCACAGCAGGCCTTGCGCTTCTGCTTTTTCCCTGCACGGAGGGCATCCTCAAGCTATAGAATGAGGAGACGTTGTCGAGGCAACTGAAAATTGCAGTGCAATAAACTATGAAGGCCAGTTGAGATTGTGGAGCACTTTGCCTTGGGTGGCTTGTGCTGGTGTGTCGCTCGAAGACTTTCCTCCCAGTGGATGGGGGGTCCAATCTGGTCAGTTAA